GCTTTTCCAATTCCACGATTCCATGTTTGTGGTGCTGATGAAGAGCACTGGAGCAATGCTGGGGAGGTTCAGGTTGGATTTTCAGGAGAATTCCTTCATGGAAAAGGTTGTTCAGCCCTGGCACAGGGCAGTGATGGAGCCACAGTCACTGGAATTGCTCAGATCCGTATGGATGTGGCACCTGGGGACAGGGGTTTGTGGTGGCCTTGGCAGTGCTCAGTGGTCTCAGAGGCCTTTTCCAAAATCACCAATTCCATCATTCCATGTTTGTGGTGCTGATGAAGAGCACTGGAGCAATGCTGGGGAGGTTTAGGTTGGATTTTCAGGAGAATTCCTTCACGGAAAAGGTTGTTCAGCCCTGGCACAGGGCAGTGATGGAGCCAAATCCCTGGAATTGTTCAGATCCCTGTGGATGTGGCACTTGGGGACAGGGGTTTGTGGTGGAGGGGAGCTGTCAGGGGGGTTTGGGGTGGAGGGAGGAAGGATGATGATCTGAACCAGTGTGTCCAGGGGGTGGGGGCAGCTTGGTCAGAGACACAGAACTGTCCTGCTCCCCTCTGCAGGAGTTCTATGGTGACTACATTGCCGTGAACCCACACGTCTTCTCGCTGAACCTGCTGGGCTGCTGTCGGGTAGGAACACGGACAGTTGTTCTTGCTTTGGGTAAGGTCTTGTGGGAACCCAGGAAATTCCTCTGGCTGCCCTGGAGAGCTCCAGACCCTGGCAGGAGGCTCAGAGACCTTGGCACAGAGTCACAAACACCTGTGCCTTCGATTTTAACCCATGGAAACAATTACCAGCTTTGTGAGAGGAGTTACAAGGCACAAGGGTTTGAGTAGAATGATGGTGAATTTATCACAGGGTGAAAAAGTAGAATTTTGGGGTTTTTAGAGGTTCAGGAGACAGGATGGAGGAATCTGGGTGTATCCTGTCATTCTCCTTCTTCTCGTTCTCCATCTTCTGCTGGTGATGGTGATACTTTTGGATTGGTTTAGGATAGAGGCAGACTGTCTAACATAGGTGATAGGGATTGGAAAATAATAAATAATGTACACGTTGTTTTCAGTATAAAAAGATAACACTGCCCCAAGGGCAGTCAGTGTGCTGGACAGATCTCAGCAGGTCAGAGAAATAATGTATTAGATAAGAGAAAATAAACAACCTTGAAAACCAGAACTGAGGAATCCCAACTTCTTCAAGGAAGAAGAAGCTGGGAAAAAAGACTTTTAATACCTCAGAAACCATTTCAACAACAAACCCAACAAATCTCTCATAACCCAGGACATTGGGGGGCTGCTGGGGGGGATGGGCCTTGGCAAGGAGATTTTGTGTGCAGCCCCTGGGTACCTGCTGCTCCAGCACTGTTGTGCTTTCCTGTGAGACTTCAGCCCTTAGAAACGAGGATGTGGGGAAGTCTGGGAGCTGTGCATCCAAGTGAGGGGCAGCTTTTCCTTCCAGGGCCGCAGCTGGGAGCCGGCTCAGCTCACCAGGACCACGCAGGGCCTCACTGCCCTGCTCCTGTCCCTGAAGAAGTGCCCCATGATCCGCTACCAGCTCTCCTCAGAGCCAGCAAAGCGCTTGGCCGAGTGTGTGAAGGTGAGAGCAGCCCTCAGCTCAGCTTTAGCATGAATTCAGCCTTGGTTGGTTTTTTTACAAACACCTGTTTGGCACTGTCTTGTTTTCTGGAAAAGTCTCTTCACCAGGATTCTTCTCCTGGGAAGCTGAGAAGCCTCAGAGAAAAAGGAAAACAATATTGTCTCATTTGCTTCTCTTGTGTTTTGCTGCTTTGGAATGTGGTTGGAGATTGTTTATCCAACGGGTGGTTGTTTGATTGGTCTCATGTAAATTGTTTTAACTTAATGACCAATCATGGTCAGGTTGTGTTGGGACTCTGGAAGAGCTCACAGTTTTCATTATCATTCTTAGTAGCCTTCTGTCTGTATCCTTTCTCTATTATTTAGTATAGTATGCTATAATATATAATATATAATATATAATATATAATATATAATATATAATATATAATATGTAATGTATTATGTGTAATGTATAATATATAATGTATATTACACATTATATATTATATATTATATATTTTATATTATATATTATATATTATATATTTTATATTATATATTATATATTATATATTATATATTATATATTATATATTATATATTATATATTATATATTATATATTATATATTAAAGTGTCCCATTTCCCTGGGCCCTTCAGCTCCTCCCTGGCAGTGCAGACAAAGCTGCAGAATTGGGCTTTCACCCTCCCTTCCCTCTGTGCCTAAATCCACGCTGAGCAGGAGCCTTTTCCAGGATTTCAAGAGGGATTTTTCCCATTTTTCCCCCCCATTTCTCCACAGCAAGTGATCACCAAGGAGTACGAGCTGTTTGATTTCCGCCGCACCGAGGTCCCGCCCCTGCTCCTCATCCTGGACCGCTCGGACGATGCCATCACCCCCCTGCTGAACCAGGTGAGCCACAGCCAGCTGTGCCAGGTGTGTGCCAGGTCACACCCAGGTGTGCCAGGGGTGTGCCAGGTCACACCCAGGTGTGCCAGGGGTGGGGCAGGTCACACCCAGGTGTGCCAGGCTGGGGCAGGTCACACCCAGGTGTGCCAGGCTGGGGCAGATCACACCCAGCTGTGCCAGGTGTGTGCCAGGTCACACACCCAGCTGTGCCAGGGCTGGGGCAGGTCACACCCAGGTGTGCCAGGTGTGTGCCAGGTCACACACCCAGCTGTGCCAGGCTGGGGCAGATCACACCCAGGTGTGCCAGGGGTGTGCCAGGTCTCACACCCAGCTGTGCCAGGCTGGGGCAGGTCACACCCAGGTGTGCCAGGCTGGGGCAGGTCACACCCAGCTGTGCCAGGCTGGGGCAGGTCACACCCAGGTGTGCCAGGGGTGTGCCAGGTCACACACCCAGCTGTGCCAGGCTGGGGCAGGTCACATCCAGGTGTGCCAGGGGTGGGCAGGTCACACCCAGCTGTGCCAGGGCTGGGGCAGATCACACCCAGGTGTGCCAGGCTGGGGCAGGTCACACCCAGGTGTGCCAGGCTGGGGCAGATCACACCCAGGTGTGCCAGGGGTTGGCAGATCACATCCAGCTGTGCCAGGCTGGGGCAGNTGGGGAGGTTTGGGTTGGATATTCAGGAGAATTCCTTCATGGAAAGGGTTGTTCAGCAGAGCCACAGTCGCTGGAATTGTTCAAATCTGTGTGGATGTGGCAGGCGTGGACAGGGGTCTGTCGTGGCCTTGGCAGTGCGCAGTGGTCTCAAAGGGCTTTTCCAAAATCACCAATTCCATGATTCCATGTTTGTGGTGCTGATGAAGAGCTGGGCACTGGAGCAATGCTGGGGAGGTTTAGGTTGGATTTTCAGGAGAATTCCTTCATGCAAAGGGTTGTTTAGCCGTGGCATAGGGCAGTGGTGGAGCCAAATCCGTGTGGATGTGGCACTTGAGGACAGGGGGCTGTGGTGGCCTTGGCAGTGCTGGGGGTATGGCTGCACACCAAGATCTCAGAGGTTTTTCCATCCCTAAGGATTCCATGATTCCTTGTTCCTTATCTCTGCTCTCCCTGGTGCTGTTTCCATCCAGGAGAACGTGGAGCTCCTGGTGCAGGAGCTGAGAAGGCCCAAGTACAGCGTTTACTTCATCTGTGAGTATGAAGAGGCCTGGAAAGGTCCTGGAGCTCCGTAAATCTGGAAATCCCAGTGTGGATGGGACAGGCTGCACACCTCAGTGCACCTTCCTGTGCCAGCTGTGTCAGGCAGGGAATTCCCACATGTCCTGAATGTTCCATGGGTTTGGGAATGAGGCAGAATGTCTCCAGCTGCTTTGGGGTTGAATTCCAGTCCTGCAGGCCAGGAATGAATCCCTAGGATGGCAGGAACTGGGGGAAGTGGCCTCTAGATGTCATTGTGGCTCTGCAGGACGCTGGGGAGATGGGCAGGGAACGGGTTGGGAGCATCCCTGGGAGGTGGCTCAGGATTGCAACACCTGCAGGGTGAGAGGGGCTCTGTGGGATCTCTCCTGCTCCAGAGGGGAGCAGACTGGCACCCACAGGGTCTGCACGGAGCCCCAGTGTCCCTTCCCTGTTTCCTCCCAGATTTCAGCAACGTCATCAGCAAGAGCGACGTGAAGGCCTTGGCTGAGGCCGATGAGCAGGAGGTCGTGGCTGAAGTCCAGGTGAGGTTTGGATGTTTTAGGGAGATCCAAAAGCAAAGGGAAGGTCCAGGCTGCCAGACACTGGGAGCTGTTCCCAGCTGGTGCATGCCAGGCCTGGCTGGGAGGAGGGATGGACACAAATGTGGGATGGAGAGGTAAAAGACAGAAAATGTCTTTTCCATTTCTCTGTGCCCTGGGCTCTCACAGCTGCTGCTGGTTTTGGTGGTTCACAAGGTGCTGCCCAGT